CACAAGGAGGGAAACTACAACCTAGGAAAAGCAAGTAAGTAATCTTCCAACAACCCCCAAAAAAGATACAAACATAACTTTACCTCTAATAACAAAAATAACAGGAAGCAACAATCATTTTTCCTTAATATCTCTTAACATCAATGGTCTCAATTCCCCAATAAAAAGACGCAGACTATCAGACTAGATACACAAACAAGACCCAGAATTTTGCTGCATACAAGAAACGCACCTCAGTGACAAAGACAGACAGTACCTCAGAATAAAAGGGTGGAAAACAAGTTTTCAAGCCAATGGTCCCAAGAAACAAGCTGGAGTAGCCATTCTAATATCAAATAAAATCGACTTTCATCCAAAATTAATCAAAAAAGATAAGGAAGGACACTTCATACTCATCAAAGGAAAAATCTACCAAGGTGAACTCTCAATTCTGAACATCTATGCTCCAAATGCAAGGGCACCTACATACATAAAAGAAACTTTACTAAAGCTCAAAACACACATTACACCTCACACAATAATAGTGGGGGATTTCAACACCCCACTGTCAGCAATGGACAGATCATGGAAACAGAAACTAAACAGAGACACTTTGAAATTAACAGAAGTTATGAACCAAATGGACTTAACAGACATCTATAGAACATTTCATCCTAAAACAAAAGAATATACCTTTTTCTCAGCACCTCATGGTACCTTCTCCAAAATAGACCATATAATTGGTCACAAAACAAGCCTCTACAGATACAAAAAGATTGAAATAATCCCTTGCATCTTATCAGATCACCACGGACTAAGACTGGTCTTTAATAATGACAAAAACAATGGAAAACCCACGTACACATGGAAACTGAACAACTCTCTACTCAATGATGACTTGGTCAAGGAAGAAATAAAGAAAGAAATAAAAGACTTTTTAGAATTCAATGAAAATGAGGACACATCATACCAAAACTTGTGGGACTCCATGAAGGCAGTGCTAAGAGGAAAGCTCATAGCTCTAAGTGCCTACAAAAAGAAACTGGAAAGAGCACACACTAACAAGTTGACTGCACAACTAAAAGCTCTAGAACAAAAAGAAGCAAATACACCCAGGAGGAGTAGAAGGCAGGAAATAAACTCAGGGCTGAAATCAACCAAATAGAAACAGAAAGAACAATACAAAATATCAATAAAACCAGGAGTTGGTTCTTTGAGAAAATCAACAAGATAGATAAACCCTTAGCCAGATTAACCAGAGGGCACAGAGACAGTATCCAAATTAATAAAATCAGAACTGAAAAGGGAGACATAACAACAGAAACTGAAGAAATTCAAAAAATCATCAGATCCTACTACAAAGGCCTATACTCAACAAAACTGGAAAACCTGGATGAAATGGACAATTTCCTAGACAGATACCAGGTACCGAAGTTAAACCAGGAGCAGATAAACCATCTAAATAGTCCCATAACCCCTCAGGAAATAGCAGCAGTCATCAAAAGCCTCCCCACTAAAAAAAGCCCAGGACCAGATGGTTTTAGTGCTGAATTCTATCAGACCTTCAAGGAAGACCTAATACCAATTCTCTTCAAACTATTCCACAAAATAGAGACAGAAGGAACACTACCCAATTCGTTCTATGAAGCTACAATTACACTCATACCCAAACCCCACAAGGACCCGACAAAGAAAGAGAACTTCAGACCAATCTCCCTTATGAACATCGATGCAAAAATACTCAATAAAATTCTAGCAAACCGAATCCAAGACCACATCAAAACAATCATCCATCATGATCAAGTAGGTTTTATCCCAGGAATGCAGGGATGGTTCAATATTCGGAAATCCATCAATGTAATCCACTATATAAACAAACTTAAAGAAAAAAACCACATGATCATCTCACTAGATGCTGAGAAAGCATTTGACAAAATTCAACATCCCTTCATGATAAAAGTCTTGGAAAGATCAGGAATTCAAGGCCCCTACCTAAACATAGTAAAAGCAATTTACAGCAAACCAGTAGCCAACATCAAGCTAAATGGAGAGAAACTTGAAGCAATCCCACTAAGATCAGGGACTAGACAAGGTTGCCCACTCTCCCCCTACCTATTCAATATAGTACTGGAAGTCTTAGCCAGAGCAATTAGACAGCAAAAAGAAGTCAAAGGGATACAAATAGGAAAGGAAGAAGTCAAAATATCGCTATTTGCAGATGATATGATAGTATACTTAAGTGACCCCCAAACTTCCACCAGAGAACTCCTAAACCTGATAAACAACTTCAGCAAAGTGGCTGGTTATAAAATCAACTCAAACAAATCAGTAGCCTTCCTCTACATGAAAGATAAACAGACTGAAAAAGAAATTAGGGAAATGACACCCTTCACAATAGTTGCAAATAATATAAAATACCTTGGTGTGAATCTAACCAAGCAAGTGAAAGACCTGTATGACAAGAACTTCAAGTCTCTGAAGAAAGAAATTGAAGAAGATCTCAGAAGATGGAAAGATCTCCCATGCTCATGGATTGGCAGGATTAATATAATAAAAATGGCCATCTTGCCAAAAGCAATCTACAGATTCAATGCAATCCCCATTAAAATCCCAACTCAATTCTTCACAGAGTTAGAAAAGGAAATTCTCAAATTCATATGGAATAACAAAAAACCCAGGATAGCGAAAACTATTCTCAACAATAAAAGAACTTCGGGAGGAATTACCATCCCTGACCTCAAGCTGTACTACAGAGCAATAGTGATAAAAACTACCTGGTATTGGTACAGAGACAGGCAGGAAGATCAATGGAATAGAATTGAAGACCCAGAAATGAACCCACACTCCTATGGTCACTTGATCTTTGACAAAGGAGCTAAACTGTCCAGTGGAAAAAGGACAGAATTTTCAACAAATGGTGCTGGTTCAACTGGAAGACAACATGTAGAAGAATGAAAATTGATCCATTCTTATCCCCTTGTACAAAGCTCAAGTCTATGTGGATAAAGGACCTCCACATAAAACCAGATACACTGAAACTAATAGAAGAGAAGGTGGGGAAAAGCCTCGAATACTTGGGCACAGGGGAAAAGTTCCTGAACAGAACTCCAATGGCATATGCTCTAAGATCGAGAATTGACAAATGGGACTTCATAAAATTGCAAAGTTTCTGTAAGGCAAAGGACACTGTCAATAGGACAAAACGACAACCAACAAATTGGGAAAAGATCTTTACCAATCCTTCATCTGATAGAGGGCTAATATCCAATATATACAAAGAACTCAAGAAATTAGACTCCAGACAACCAAATTACCCTATTAAAAAATGGGGTATAGAGCTTAACAAAGAATTTTCAACGGAAGAAACTCGAATGGCCGAGAAGCATCTAAAGAAATGTTCAGCATCCTTAGTAGTCAGGGAAATGCAAATCAAAACAACCCTGAGATTCCATCTCACACCAGTCAGAATGGCTAAGATTAAAAACTCAGGTGATAGTAGATGCTGGCGAGGGTGTGAAGAAAGAGGAACACTCCTCCATTGTTGGTGGGACTGCAAGATGGTGCAACCACTTTGGAAATCAGTCTGGCGGTTCCTCAGAAAATTGGACATAGCATTACCCGAGGATCCAGCTATACCACTCCTAGGCATATACCCAGAAGATGCTCGAACATATAACAAGGACATATGCTCAACTATGTTCATAGCAGCCTTATTTATAATAGCCAGGAGCTGGAACGAACCCAGATGTCCTTCAACTGAGGAATGGATACAAAAAATGTGGTATATTTACACAATGGAGTATTACTCAGCTATTAAAAACAATGAATTCGAGAGGTTCCTAGGTAAATGGATGGAACTAGAAATTATCATCCTGAGTGAGGTAAGCCAATCACAAAAGAAGACACATGGTATTCACTCACTGATTATTGGATATTAGCCTAGAACCTTGAAATGCCCAAGATGCAACTCACAGGCCACATGAAGCCCATAAAGAAGGAAGACCAAGTGAGGGTGATTCGGTCCTAGAAGGAGCAACAAAATACTCAAGGGAGCAAATATGGAGACAAAGTGAGGGACAGAAACTGAAGGAGGGGCCGTCTCAAGACCACCCCACCTGAGTATCTATCCCATGTGCAATCACCAAAGGTAGATGCTGATGTGGAAGACAGGAAGTGCATGCTGATAAGAGCCTGATATGGATATCTCCTCAGAGGCCTTCAAGAGTCAGACATATTCAGAGGCAGATGCTCACAACTAGCCATTGAACTGATCATGGGGTTCTCAATAGAGGAGTTAGAGTGAAGACTGAAGGAGCTGAAAGGGTTTGTGGCACCATGAGGAGAGCAACAATACCAACCAACCACAGCTCCCAGGGTCTAAACCACCAGCCTGGGAGCACTTAGGGGGGGATCCAGGGCTTCAGCTGAATATGTAAAAGTGGAGGGCCCTGCTGAGCATAGGTGGAAGAAGAGAACCTTGACCTCATGAAGGCTGGATGCCCCAGGGGGTGGGAATTTTGAGGGTGGGGAGGTGGGAGTGGGGGGGTGTAGATAGAGGTTACATCCACAGAGAAGAAGGAGGAGGGGCGAGGGGATTGGGGGTTCTGAGGGGGTGGTGGGGGATGGGGTAAGGGGACAACATAGGAAATGTAAATAAATCATCCAATAAAAAAAAGAAAGAAAGAAAGAAAGAAAGAAAAAAAAAGAAAGCACTGAATTTATTTTTAAACTATCGTGTATTTAAAAGTGCCATGTACAAGGCAAAAAGCAAGCTAACGTGTGTTTACAATATTGTGTCACTAATAGCTAAACAAAATGAACATTTATAACAATTTCACATGACATCTAAAATCCTGACAATTTCTGTAGGTTGATGGTGGCAAAGCAATTAATTCAAAGAAGATGCAGGGGTAGATGAGACAGAATAATCAAACTCCTTCAGCGAGAGCCAGGAGTAGCAATTCAGTTCTATCTTATTATTTTGTAACTAATTCAAACAACTTTTGATAAGCATTACTTACTTTTTCTTTAACTTCTACATTTTTTCTCAAGAGTACATCATCAGGTTTGATAATTGCCATATTGTAAACTTCCACTAAGAGAAAATCCAAAAATTATTATTATTGTATTTATTATTATTATTATTATTATTATTATTATCATTATCATCATCATCATCATCATCATCATCATCATTTTGGTTCAGATACAGGATAATGAGAGGTCTGGCAATAAAAATATGAATTAATAATGTCTGAGTTTTTAAGGAGACAAAATTTAAATTTATAGGCATGTAGTTTTGAAATAATTCTCATACATTAGAATTACACCCATGGTTCCCACCACTCAGTAGTAACAATGACTGGAACTTCAGCTTTGCACTGTGCAAATAAAAATGACGAACCAGCAGAGCTACCATATAAGAAGTGCTCTCTTCCCACAGACTTCTTGTATCTTAGTTACCTCTCCTGTTACTGTGATAAAATACCTGACAAAAACAACTTTTAGCAGAAAGAGTTTGTTTTGGCTCACAGGTCAAACAAACCAGCTGCCATGGCAAGGAAGTCAAGGTGGCATGTGTTCATATCACACTACAGTTGAGAGGCAGAGTGTGAAGAGTGAACGCTGCTGTTCAGGTATTGCTCCCCTTTTATGTACTTCAGGGTCCAACCTGGGGAACAGCATTACCTACAAGTGACCTTCCCATCTCAGATAACCTGATCAAGGGAACCCTGGACAGGCATACAAAGACTTCTGTCCTGGGTGATTCTAGATTCTGTCAAACTGACATTTAACACTAATTGTCCCAACAGTTCACAGAGTGTAAGTAACTCTTTTCCTTTACTGCCCCTCAGGAAATAAACATATGTACTCGAGAGTGTGCACGCGCCCATGAGTATAATACAAGCACATGAATACGTGCACACAGTTGAACAGATACACACCCAAACACATAGAGAATCCAGGAAAGTCATGGGATTTTCAACTGAGATGTAAGTTAAAACTACTGAATTTAAAGGAGAAATTATTTTTAACAAAGTTAGGAGGTGAAAAATGGACTAGGAACTAGTTGCCCAGATCAGTTACAGGAGATAGGCACACGTATTCCCGGGTAAGCTTTGAAGGGTCTTTAACCAGAAAAGGAGGCAAGAAAAAATGAAAAAGGAGCCTTGTCTTGCAATGTATGAACCATTGTGAAATGGAATAGCCCTGGAATGACTAGCACTAATAAAGCAGCTCTCTGTTGCTATGGTAGTATAGTGAAAGAGCATGTGTAGAAGCAGTAGCTGGACTCTGTTACATCGTTCCTTACCAGTACTTTCATACTGTACATCCCCATATTCTTCATCGGTTGAATCTACTAGTGGAATTTCAACATACTGTGAAAGAGAGATTAAAGTAAAACAGCTACTTTAGTGGAAGAGTGTTTAGAAATGTCGTTTCTAGTAAACAAAACACAGGGGAATAGAATGTAAAACACAAAGACCTCTTTGTTTTACCTTGGCACCATGCATGCCACCACCTTGCTAGTTATAGAGTATTGCTAGCTATACTTCACAAGAACTGAAGACTCTTGTGTCAGAGGCTGAAGCCCCAGTCCGTGATGCTACTGGGAGGTTGAGGAAAATTTTAAAGCAAAGCCTAATTAGAACAACATAGCTCATTTGGGACACATCCTTGAAGAATCTCTTCCTTTCCTCTTACTTTTTCACTTCATGGCCCCCACGAGTTAAGCAACTTGGTCTACTACAAACTGCCTGTCATGGTGTGATAGCTTGCTAAAGCCCTAAAGCCACCAGTAGTCAAAACACAATCTTCTTCTTTAACAGCTAACTATTTTGGGTATTTTATCACAATGACATAAAGTGGCCTAACACGTAAAGCTAGGGAAAATACCTTAGGAAAACATAAAATACAATGCATTTAAGACATTATACTAGCCATTCACCAAGAATATTACCTGAGGACGAGTCAATTCACCTGCTACAACTTTCCTCTCTTCATCTATCAAGCTTATGACTTTTCTATTGATAAGTGGTGCATTTGCACCCTGAATCTTCGCAACAATTTTACCATTCTACAAGAGGAAGTATAAATACAGTTTCATTTTCATAATGTCAATAATTATCATTTACTCTAAACTAAAGTTTCCTCCTCTTGCCCCCAGCTCCCCCCGCTTTTTCTGCTACTATAATCAGCCATTTGAAAGTGGTGCTGGTGGGAAATTTGAGTTCTAATTCCAGCAATTAGAGTTCCACACTTGGTCTTCTATGTAGGTCAAGGGTGTGTCTCCATCTCCTTGCACCTCAGGTTTGGCTGTACTCCATCGCCTACAGCACGTTACCATCATACAGGAATTATCACCTTTACCACCAATCAAGAGTGCCTCCCTCATTCATCCTTGCTCTAAATGTGAGGGATTCTAGACAGGACTTTTAATTTGCTCGACTGATGTTCTGGTTTCCTTTCTGTTGGTTGTGATAAAACACTCTGATCAAAGACAATTTTGAGAGAAAAGGGTTTATCTGGACTATACTTGTCTATCATAATCCATCACTGAGGGAAATCAGGGTAGGAACTTGAAGTACAACCCATAGAGGAACACTGCTAGCTGGCTTGCCCTCAAGCTTCCTTATAAAGCCTAGGACACGTGCCTAAGGATGGTGCCAACTACAGGGAGCTGCACCCTTCTGCAACAATTATTAATCAAGACAAGTGCTCACAAATATATCCACAGTCAATCTGCTTTAGGTAATTCCTCAATTAAGACTCTCCTGATAGAAGAGTGTTATCTCAGACTGACAATGAGAACTAAGATGGATGCCACATCACTTTTGTCTGTCTTTCACCTTGTATGTACGAAATATCAGTTTATGGACATGGATCAGGCCTGATGACATGGAATGAGAAGCCTTGTATCTAACCCTATTAAATAACAAATAAAAAAAACCCAAACCCACAAAAGTACAGAGACATGTGGCGTAACAACTACAGTTAAGAGTTAACACCTAAGAGAGGCTTAGAACACTCAGAATCTCTACATGACCATGTCTAAACAGGGAGATCAGCTGAAGTATTGCTCTATATCAGGAAATGTTTCTTACTTTAAGATATGAGAAATTAATAAGAGAACAAGAAGGCGAAATGAAAAAATATATATACTATGCTGAAGGGTAGCAGATTCCAAGGGTGAAGGACTTCAAGGAGACAAGGCAAGTAAGAAAACACTCTGGGAAGCTGTGTCTGAAACCAGCATGTATGGTCACAACACTCAGAGAAATGCAGACCACATGGGGACCCAGGCACTTTGGAAGGTGAAGGCTCCCCTCCCTAGTTTCACTGAAATGCATACTGTGCCAATGACTAACATTTTTTTTAAGAAACATTTATTTTAGTGTGTGTGTGTGTGTGTGTGTGTGTGTACACATGCATGTGTGCACATCCATGCAGTCAGCCTGGAGCTGAATTTACAGGTGGTTGTGCAGCACAGTGGTGATTAATGTGGACGTAACTGCTGAGCCCTACCTCTAGCCTCCCGATTAAGATGTGGAGGTTATTTTTCTACTTTCTAGGAAGGATTGCAGGAATCAAGAGAAGATTCTGTCTGCAATTCAGTTATAGGTCTCAGTTCTATACCAGCCTGATCATTCTCTTGAGAAGAGTTGTTCCTACTGACACTTGCTAGAATGAAGTTTTTGTCACCTAGAAAAGCTGACTAATAAAAGAGATGCATATATAAGTGTTTAAGTCAATGACCAATCAGCCGGAGGACAGCTTTGTGGTGTGGGAATATTATTCTTCCATAAGTGGTCATCAATGTGGTATGTTCAGAGAAAAGTATCTGAGGTGTGAACATGGAGCTTAGTAGATGGAGGTTATGTTGAAAAGAAAGATCTTAGATGGAAAGGAGAATAAAGAATTCACAAGCCAGGGCAGAATGGGGTGTCTGAAGCCCCGATGAGAACAGGAGGGCTTGGGTTTGAAAATCAGACTTTGCACCACATGCGAAAACTGTGCGGTTATGAGCAGGATTTGCTCTAAGATGTGAAATGACAGGACTTAGGTGGGAGAAAAGGAAAAGTTGTCAAAGGTAACGGATTCTAAGTAACAAAGGAATAGAAAGCAAGTAAACTATGAATGAGAGGGAGAGAGAGAGAGAGAGAGAGAGAGAGAGAGAGAGAGAGAGAGAGAGAAGCTCCAGAGTCTGACAAAATCTGAAAAACAAAACAAAAACAAAAAATGCAACAAAAAAACAAAACCCACCACTTTCAGGCTGCAGGCAGGTTCCAAACCAAGCAATTCTCCCCTTTGTATAGTTTCTTATTCTGCTTCCTTACACTACATGTAGGCTAGGTGGCATCAAACTGTCAATCTCTACAAAGACCATGTCTTTAAAAGGTGAAAATTCTATACATCAAACTGTATGCATTCAACACACAGTGCAAGAACATGATACATTTTGTACTCATTTAACTCAATAACTCATTTCTTAAAACAGGTACAAGTGTATTATGTAATGGGATTTAGAGCTTATACACAAGAGATGTTATTAATAATTATTTCTACTATCGAAAGATAAGTACCCTGCACCAGAAGGTTGACTGAGTGGTATACACTTCCATTGATGTTTCTCTTGACTACCACATGGTTGAGTACTTAACTTCAGGCTGGTTTTAAAAAATAAGTTTTACTATGTTGTTGTCTGACTATTACAGTTGTGCACCTATTAAAAATATAGGTAAAGTATAGGCAAGTGTAAAGAAGAAAAACAATAGATCCTCCAGCCCAGTTAGTTAGAGCTGGTTAGAATACCAGCTCTGGAATAAACTCTATTTCTGAACATTTGTGAACATGTAGATGGAAGCAGAATGCATAAGAAAGAATGACTAGCCAGACACCTTTGCACAAATCCATGAACACTTAGAACCAATCCTCTCCTGCAGCTCCTCTGAGAATGGTCCCTCATGCTGGTAAATGCAGTCTTATTTGTCTTTTTTTTTTTCTAATCAGCTTGGTGTGCTAGTCTTAACAAGCTCTTGGGAGGTGAATTATTAAATTTCTTATTAGACAAATAGAGATAAGGCAAACACTGTGCAATTATGACCACCAGCAAACAGCCCCATGGTAACTTTCAGTGCTACCTGCTCCTTCACATGGACCAGATAATGAGATGATGAATGCTATACTTACGAGACTAAAGAGGAACACAGGCTCACATTTATCTCTAAATGGCTGCAGAGTCACAATGTTGTCAGCTTCAGCCTGAAGGATATTGTAAGCATGTTATACAATAATGAGAAAGCAATATCCACATTATTCTGTATGCTATTTTAAGATGCTAATAGAAACATGTACAACTTTTCTGGGGACTGCAGCATTTCTGGGTTTGTGATAGTTGTATAAAGGATCAAATGGCATGGTTTAGCAACTCAAGCCCTGTGCTATTTGGATCCAATGGTACCTTTCAGTGTTCTCCTTTACCAAAATGCTCTCCCTAGTTAAACTCACTTCTGTTTCTACCTCCCTTGCTGCCTGGTCTTGCCATCACTCTTCCCTTCCAGCCCACATATCCTGGATCCAAAAAACGTCTGTTGCTCCCTCCTGACAGGTCACTGTTCATCATCCAGAACAGAATGTCTTTTTCAGTAATGTACTACAGCCAGGGGTGGGACTGTCTCACTTGCTTTGTTAAGAAAGCAATGATTTTCCAATTACATGTAATGCCAGCTCTAGAGTTTCTAACACCTCTGTCCTTTTGGAAGACTTTCAGTCAACATGCATGTACACACGCACACACACACACACACACACACACACACAGAGAGAGAGAGAGAGAGAGAGAGAGAGAGAGAGAGAGAGAGAGAGACACAGAGACACACAGAGAGACATACACACACATACAGACACACAGAGAAACATACGTATATTCAAACTAACATGTCCACACAATTTAAAAATATAAAGAAAAGAAGAACAGAATGTTTCTGCAGAAAGGGAGGCCTAGTTGATAGGTGAGGTCAGGAAGCCAACTGCACAAGGGTCACTTAAAAGACAGGGAAGGCCTGCACTGAAAGGATCTCATGAGTGGAGGTGTTGTGTCTGTCTCATAGACTATGAAGTTTAGGGACCTAGAGTAACAGTGCACACAGCAGTTATCTGTCTCTGTGGTTTCCAGCTGGCTGGCTCAGGTGTGCATCTATCTAGTAGAAATGTGTTCTCTATCTGTTCAATATGTACCAATGTAAAGTAAATCTTAAAAATTATTATTTTATACAATGTTAGTATTTAAAGCATATCTTAATGATTGATATTAAATAAATATTAACCAATAACTGAACATAGCTAAATTGTCTCAAACACTAAATTTCACAATAATTTAATTTAGTGACATCAGTTTTATAATTTTTAAAATTTATTTGTGCATGTAAGGGATCAAGAAAGAAGAAGACAGACAGATAGACAGACAGACAACAGACAGACAGACAGACAGACAGACACAGAGAAAAAGAGAGAATCTTTCCCTGCTCCCATCATTTGAGTCCCAGGGATCAAACTTACATCTTCATTCCTGTCAGCAAGCGCCTTTGCCCACTGAACTAGCTCAACAGCCCTCAATGTTCAAATTTAAATAATTAAAATTGAGAATGCGTTTCAATAGTTGGTCTAGATCGTTCTCAAGAGTTCTGATGGTGTATAAAGGCATATTGGACAGCAAGATTCTAACCGATTGTTAACTGGCTATAGATTGAACTACATATAATTACTGGACATAGATTGAATAATCAATCAAGTCAAGTGAATTTGGCTGTGATATTTAATCTCTTGTCACTTTTGATAACTAACAGCTGAAAGAAAAATTACTTATTTTGAACTATTTGTGCATAGATGGGTTCCTAAGGGTCTACTCCATGACACCCAGGAAATAGTCCCCCATAATCTTAACTCAGGGACACATATTTACCACGCCATGTGGCACTATCAACAGACATATGCCCATTATTATATTTTTCTGAGGTTTTTGGTCATGAGTTATCTCAGCATCACGGGAATTAGATGAAAATCATATTAATTCTCAAACTTAGTAGAACTAAATATATATTAAAACTGCCAAGCCAACATTGTTTAGAGTGAAGACTGGAAGGTTTCTTAAGCTAAGAAAATACTTGAAGTACAGGGAGATCTTTAAACATGGCAAACACATTGAACAAAAACAAAAAGCTTACAACGACGAAATGAAGAATCTCATCTTCATTCAGTTCATTTTTTAGTTTTCTGAATAAAGCTTGCACGGCTTTGCAGGGTCCACACCAGGCTTGGTAAACATCAATCACTGGAAAATGGTGACATTATCAAAGAGCAGAGTCGAAGAATCTGGATGGTGGCACATTCCCATCCCAGGTGAGGGACCCCAGGAAGGAAGGCAGGAAGGTAGCTATGAAACAGGGAGTTGAATTCTGCGAAGGGTCCCCAGGTGCTTGGAAGCAAACCCGAACATGACAGCAAAGAGCCCCAATACCTGTTAAGCCTTTGTTCAGTAACATCTCATCCCACAGGTTCTGACTATTGACGACTGACTGCAAAAAGCAAAATACAAAATATGGTAAGAGGTAGCAAGTGTCATTGCACCCGAAGACCTGCTGAGACTACGGACCCACCTGTAGCTGGACTTCACGCTTTTTGCTTGCCATTTGTCTACTTCTGCATGGAATAGGAAAAGAAAAACAAAACATGGGGGAATTTAAGCAATGTTCTCTTCGTATACCCAAACCACATCTTCAAGTACTGTCCAATTCCCTTTAGAAAATGCTGGCCTGCTCAGACTTGTCTCTAGAGAGGAGTCAATGTCATAGGCAGACTACTGCATGCTGGGCAGGGATTCTTCCAACAAACCAAAGCAATGCCAGAATATTACGGGCTTTTGTTTAAAGTCATACTGCATGCATTTGTGTGTGTGTGTGTGTGTGTGTGTGTCTGTGTGTGTGTGTGTCTGTGTGGTAGTTTCCTACACCTTTAGCAGAACATGTTAGTTTGTGGTAAATATGCCTTTTAGATATGCTCACTCCAATATATTGAGTTTTTAGAACAAAAATCACTACTGTTCTCCGGGGCACAACGCAAATGGTGTCAGCCTCAAGGATGCACAGTGAAAGACATTAAAGTGAAAGAAAGTAATGGCTCCTAAGGCTACATCCCAACAAACTTGCTATACACTATAGAGAAATGGGTCCTCTCTGCTAGACTGGGATTTTTAAAGACAATTTTAAATGGGCTCCCTTGCTGGGGTCTATCGTCCTTGGTAGTTTAAACTCCTGAAATTCAGTACCTGGACTGCTGGGTCAGGCCCGGGCTGAAGGTGGCAGGGCTCCTGCTATGCCTTCTTCCCCAGCAGGTCCAGTTAAAGGAAGGGATGAAGAATGCCTGGCATCACCCCCTGGAAGATGAAGGGCAAGGACGCCCAACGTTCAGCCCTCGAGGCCCGGCCGGCCCTTCCCTCCCTATGGTAGAGGCTCGAGGATCCTGCTCGCAGCAGGTAGAACTGGACACCAAGCCCAAGAAAGAGCAGTTGGCTCCTAAAAATCCTCCTCCACTCCAGCTGCATAGCTCTGGAAAGAAAGTTTCCACCTCCTTAAGATCCCTCCCTCTGCTGTCCTCTACTGAGTTGCAGTCTCTGAGCCTGTGCAGGGTCGCCACCCAGTCCCCGTCAACATACCTAAGTGCACCTCAGCATTTCAAGTTCCCAGGGAGGCTTTGAGAGCAGACCGGAAGTCTCTCTCCTAGGCTTTGAATCCCATGTGATCAGTCACGCCTTACAGTAAACAAACAAAAATCTCAAATTGGAGCAGAAACAGTCCTTCCTGCTAAGATGACTCTCCACCTTTGCTAATCTACTGATGGTATCATCCCCATCGTCTCCTTCCTCCCGGTCCCACCTAGGCACTGGACTCAGAATTGTCATTTTAACTATTTAAACATCTAGACTTACAAATATGTTGCTAAAATGATATTCAGGGCACCCACACACCCTTTCTTCAGTCCCAAGATTAAGGATTTTCCAGGCATAACGCAATCATCATGGAGACTAAGATCCAGTACTCAATTATTATGTAGGCTTTATCTCAAGTCTGTAGTTTCCCTACCAATGAAGCTTCCTTTGAACCAAGATCCAGTCCAGAGACTGTGTACTGTCAATGGAGTATGTATTCCAACATTGCTTATTCAATATTATCAGCAAGAGAACAGTGACTAAAACATGGTATCTCCACATCACTAAGTATTACACCAATGTGTGTGCAGTGCTACATGCTACTAATGGTATCTGCATGTACTGCACCAAGAAACTACCAAGATATGTTTTTAAATAAGAAGGAAGAAGAAAGAGGATGCTGTGAATGACATTTATGTGTACTCAGTTCATACCTTTCCCAAGCCTCACCTTAGAAAATTGTGTTATTTATACATTTATTCTCGCAATACTTTTTCCCCACGTTCCATGTGCCAAGCAAGTCAAAAGATGGTTAGAGTAAAATGTAACTGCATGTGTTTACAGGAGTCTAGTTTTCATCTGGAGTTGCAGCACGTACTAAGTAATGCGTCAGAGAGGCTGTTCTGAGACCTGCAGCATCTGAACACTGACACAGAAAATGATGCTATTACATGTGTGATCAATCATATTTACTCTAAAGAATCAAATCAAAAGTAACATGAATGACGCGGAAAGAGAAGAAGGTGACACTGAAGGGTGCTTGTGCTGAGCGGTGGTTAGAGGTTAGAAATGAGGTGTACACGTCAAAGCGGAGCACTCTGTCTTTGCAGTGGAAGGAGCACCTACGAAACGTCATCTTGATATTGTCTACAACTCTTTTTGACTGTCCAGAACATCTTTTCCAGGTACATTTTAACTTCATGAAGATAAACTTTGCCTGTTTTTTCTTCTACACCAATGTGTCATCTCACTTTTTCAGGAACTCTTTTCCTCTCTAATTAATAGCAGCCCCCTCCTGCCCTCTTTCCAGAAACATCCTAGTGAGTGCCTTTAAGAAAAACAACAACAAAACTGATGTAACATAATTTTCCTCAAAAGATTTTCTGTCTTTGAAGAAAGGGCAGACGGTTTGAAGTGAAAGGATTCAGGATAAAACACCAGCTTTCCGCTTCCCTTTGTGCTGCTCAACTTCTACGTTCTCCTCCCAGTGTTACCTTCCCCAGGCTCAAGTGACTGCCGTAGCCATGCGTGTGTGATATCCGCATCATAAAGGACTAAATCAAGAAGTTTGTTAAGGAGTTGGCATGTGTGCTTGCTTTTTTCCTATTTTTATTGGTTGTTTCCTCTTGAGACAAAACCTGGCGACAGAGCACGATTTCAAACGATAGAAAATGTGCGAGAGAGCATCGAGCTCGGCAGAGCGCTGGCCACACAAGCATCATGCTTGGCTGGATCTTGGTGGAATAAAAAAACCAGATTACCAATATTGTGCCAACTGAATGTGAGTATTCTAACAAAACTTTTCACGGACCCCTCGTTCCTAAAATACTGTAACAGTAAGAGCTTTGAGAATTTTCTGTTTGCTAATGCCATTTAACTCATTCAACAAAATCTCAATCCTTTCGCCTTAATGTATTCTTCCTGAAGTCTGTATATGAATTTTTCACATTTGCATGTTTATAAAAACATTCTATTTATTGTCTCTTCTAGTTGAATATCACACTTAGAAACACTTAATTGCAACTTCTCAGGATGTCCATCAGGTGGCAGTATGCACTTCTGTGGCTACAACAGAAGCTGTCAAGGAGGAAATCCCACAAAATATCTGACCACATGCTGCCTCCAGAGCTCTGAAGTTTCGCTGCCTGAAGTACACTGAAGATCACTGGCAACCTGGGAAACTAAAGATATGAAGAGCTCTGAGTTCCTACACCGGGCTTTGCGTTGATTACCCTGTTGCGGATCTCTGTAATAACGTTACCAGTTGGAGGATGAAAGGCCTTCTAGCAGTTCACTTACCCAGTGATGCTGAGCCCCATGATCCCAGTTTTTGTTAGTTTACTTGCTTGCTGGTTAGCTTCTTTGCAGCAGAGTCTTTTTGTATCATTTCTCTCTTCAAAATATGCAATATACTGCACACTCCATGTTTGAATCTATTATTGTATATACTGGTATATTTAGCAATGCTTTCTTCTACCTGATTCAACTGCTCTTAGCTCACCATTCTGCTGTACAACACATATTCTTTCAGCAGGAATCGCCAAACACATGTTCACTTTTGTGATCACAATTTCTAAAAACTCACCATCAATTAAAGTTGCTCATTGTGACCCTCTTTGGGTGTCCTTGAAAAACAATTATGTTCAATTGTCTTTTATGCCCAGAAAATCAAAGTTTTTAAAGATGGTTTCCACAACCCTGGGAGACATGAGTTACTAACTTAAGTAAGTTGAGAATGTATTTTTGAATGGGAAAAAGTTATTCTGAATCTATGCCATTTTTGCTATTGAGTTCTCAGAAGTGCAAAGAATCTTATAGTTATGGAAACTAAGACCACAAACTGACAAGAAAATGGCCCCAGTAGCAGAGTGTTTGTTTGAAAGATTTACTGGTTTATCTCACTTGGGACCAAGCATATCTTTACTCACATGTCAACTTCTACCTGGGAAGAGATGCTGTTAAGAGGCACAGCATCTTGTCTCCCCTCGGAGTCAACTCCCACTGTTTGTGACTTTAGGTTTTCCTATTGTTATTTTGATAAGGGAGCCAACTCCTTCATGTTCTTCTTTTTTTTTTCTTTAATTGTTTTTTGACCTCATTTGTATGGGAGTTTTGTCTGCATGTATATCTATGCACCAAAAGCATGAACTGCCCCAGAAGCCAGAATCCCATGAAACAAGAGCTATAGATGCTTCTTAGCAACCATACGGGTGCTGAAAATCAAACCCAGGCTCTCTAGAAGAGTCGCTGTGCTCTTGGCCACTGACCTATCTCTTCAGCCTGTGTCCAATTCTTGGTCACACTGGGGTCTAAACAATTCTAATTTTGTATACCACATGACATCTGACCACATAAGATTGTCTAAATAGAAATGATGTTTATTTTCTCCATCTGTTCATGTTATCATGCTTCCTCACAGTCTCTCCATCTGTTCATGTTATCATGCTCCCTCACAGTCTCTCCTTTTTTATCCCCTTGGGAAGCAGAAGGCAGAAGGAGTTTCTGCCCTCCTATCATGGTTGTATTGGCTTTTGTTTGAGAAACCAACCTTCAGCACACTCAGCCACTGAGATGGGGAATTTTGCTTGGAAGATCAACATTTTCTACTCAAGCTGACTAATTCATGTGTAGAGGATAATGCATTCCCAGAACAGCAAACCTAAAATTCAAAAAAAAAAATCATCATTTTGGTGCTCAGTGTACCCTTCCCCCTTCACACATATAAAATAAAATATAAAATATTTGGACTCATTGTATGTTTCATAATACCACTTTTCTGCCTGTAATACGAAAGCCAAATAAAAATGATTTCAAGTGTAGTAGTTTCTTTTTCTCATGGTAAAAGAAGTGTGGATGTAGACAGCTTAAGGAAGATGACTCACACCCAAAAACATCATCAAAACCCAACTCACTCAGTTTCTCCTTCTTTTTTTTTTTTTTTTTTTTTGGCTCCCCTGGTCTCAGTAGCACTATCTCTGATTAATT